GTTACACCATGAGCTGAGAGTCAGATCTCTCTCACGGAGTGACGAATCATGGACACATTCTGATTAATGCCACTCCATGTTGCCAGAGAGGAGCAAGAGGCTCAGCCCAAGGCCTCAGCACTGCTACCTCAGGACCCTCACTGTGGTGCGATCTTCCCAGACTCTGGAAAGCATCCATAACTGTCGCCACCTACCACAGATGCACTACCAGCATCTGGTACTCATGAGTAGTGCTGGGCTGTGTCTGTCCCCTGGACAGTCCCTTTGCTCTGGTTCTCAGCCAGGACATTGAGGAATTCCCAAACATCACCGATCTAAAAGTCATCCAGAGTATGGCCTGGCTAGGGGCCAGGCCAGGTGCATTTATGGACTGACATCTGTATACATGTGATCTTCCCTCAGCTGTCTGGCAATGTGTGGCAGATGTCTTCACAGTTCTGCATCCCAGCTCTGTGATCTTAGGTGCAATGCTGAGACACCCCAGGCACTGGCCTGCCTCTGTCCTGTCTGTGTAGTTCTAGCCCTTTCAGTCTCTAATCTCTAGTCCTGAGTGGACCCTGCAGACTTTGATCTATCCTGACCTGTGGGATGGTCTTGGGCACCAGAGAAAAGGGCCACAGTGTCAGTTATGAGTTGCATCTACTTTGTGGCCTTGGCTTGAGTTCGTCTACTGTGTGACACTGCTTACTATCACGATGGTGACACTCTGACAGGATACTCCCCTTCTGGGGTAAGGGGAGAGGCAGGGACCTGGAGAACCACAAGGAGCAAGATGTCCAGGACGTTCCTACTGCACAGCGAGCTTTTAGTCTCAGCATCCCTGGACAGAGATGGACAGCCAGCAGACCCCTCCTCCAGGCCTGGTACGGGCCAGCTTTTCCAAGGAAACTCAGAGATGTTGGGATCTGCCTCCTTTGGAGGGCACGGAGCGGGCAGGATGCCAGGCTCCCACTGGGCTGAGCTGGAGCTGAGATCGCTTGCCTTTCTCCTGAATGGCAGCCCCCGGGCAACAACTCCTTCCACCCACTCAGCAACAGAGGCTGGGTCCCGGCTGGGCCGGGAAGCGGAGCGTGTAGGCCTGAGCAACAAACCCTCAATTATCCCAGCACACATCTGCAGAACCTGCTCGACTGGAAACAGGGCACAGCTATTTCTAACTCTGCCTCAGACCCCTTTCTGCCTTTAAATTCATTTTTGGGAAAATAAAACAAACAGAAGTGGCTAGGGGTCTGTGGCTTGACATGACTTTTCCTGTTCCTGAGTACATGCCATCATACCAAACTGTGTGCACCAGCCCTGTTAGAGTGGGATGAGGCCATGGGTCCCGAGGTCCATCTGCCATCTGTTGATGTCCCCCTGCCCTCCGACATTGACGGTACTGGTCATTGAGCCCAGGGCTCATACTTGCTAGGCAAGTGCTCCACCACTGAACTGCATCCCCAGCCCTTTTCAGATATTTAGTTTTGAGATAGGCTCTCGTTAGGTTGTCCAACCAGGCCTTGAACTTGTGATCCTCTTGCCTCAGCCCCACTTCACCCCTATACCTCAAATTATGCCCCACACCAGTACACATGGCATCCTATCTCTCCCCTCTCTGTTCTCCCCCATCCGTACCCCTCTGGCCTGCAGATCCTGAGAGCACTATCTCCACAAGACGGCTCCTGCTGGAACAATGCCTGCTATTAAGGGTACTGGGATGGTCCCTCCTGCTGCTGAGATTACTGTTCCTCAGGGTACAAAGTGACCAAAGATGACAGAGGGGATAGGGCAGAATCAGCTCTGCTGTCCTGGTGAGAGATTTCTACCAGAAGCCTTGACATTCTTAAACTCCTCTCAGTACCCGAGTGAGAAGATTTCCAAAGGCTGCCAGCCCAAGGCTCTGACCAGAGAAGCATCAGCCCAGGTGGGGCCTGGTACCAGGAGGCCTTGGAAGGGACCAGGAAGCATGGACTGTTTGGTGGGGAGGCTGCAAAGATCATGACTCTTTGAGCCTCTCCTCGGGTCACACACTCTTCCAATGGAACCAGAGGGGCCAGGAGCACACAGCTGTGTGCAGACCCCAACTCACTGGGGGAATGGGAGTGCCACTGTGTGGCTCTGTAGAGGTGGAGCAGCAGACAGGACCTGGTATCACCTGAAGCTATGTAGAGGCAGGAGTGTCTGTGGGCTGGGCTGAGCCAGCCTCTGGGCTGCCACTATCAACCATAGGGCCAGGGCCCAGAACTTCAGTGAGCACATCGTGAAAATCACCTCCTCCAAGCCTCAAGGATAAGCCTGGAATCACTCCTGACAGATGGGGAGACAGAAGGGTGATGGCTTGGCCGGTGTCTGCAGGATTAGGATGCTGGATGGCACTGCCAGCATGGGATTCCTGCAGACCCCACACCTGCACAGGTGCACTAGGGCAAAGAAGGTGGCACAGGCAGCACAAGGGGGGGGGCACTGAGGCCAGATGGCAGCAGGTTCTGCCAAGTAGAGGCTCTGGAGGAAAACAGAGCCAGCATCCAGTGGCAGAAGAAACAACCTTCTGGCCCTGGCCAGGCTGCAGCTCAAAGTGGGCCACAGGCAGTGGGCGGGCAGGAGATGGCAAATCAGCCAGCTGCCACGCGGCTACCTCAGGCCTCACTGTGGGATCACAGTTGTCCCAGAGTCTGAAAGTGCAAATCACAGGGCTGGCAAGAGGGACATGGGGCTGCTTCAGGCTCTATTCCTGAGACAAATCACAATACCTAGCTCCCTACCCAAGGTCACAGGACACCGCTCCTTTCCAGGCCACAACGATGACACTTGGCCCCTTTTGGGGCCACCAGGGCGATATACAGTCCCTTACTGGGCTACCATAGTGACACATGACAGCTCACTGGGCCCAACTACTGTATCCTGAACTTATGCACATTCTGTGGCAAATCACAGGCCAGGCATGATGGGGGCACCCCTGCAACTGTGTTGTTCTGAAACAAACTTGGGACAGTGGTGGGCCAGAGCTGCACTGCCCACCAGCCATCCTGACACTCACTGGCTGCATCCAGCTCTGGAAGGGTTGGCTTTGTGGAAGAGGCCACCCACATCTCACACTGCCTGCTAGGGAAGCACCCATCAGCATAGCTGTGGAGTCTGCCACTCATCCCTCAAGCCATGTGAGGCCAGGTAAGCCTCCTACTCTCAGCCTCCCTGTGTGCCCTGTGGAGGTTGTGGTCACCCATGGGTGTTTAATGGGGCAGCTAGGGAGGGCATATAGTGGGCTTCACAGGCAGCTAGAAGGTCCCTCACATGGGCCAGAGGGAGGTGGCGGGATCCCCGGAGGGAGGACTATTACTGAGCGGGAGCAAGGTGGATGGGGTGATAGGCCTGGCACCCATATGCCCCTCCCTGTCCCTGGCATCAAAATGCTAGCAGTGGCAACTTGAGAAGCAGGAGCCTAGGCAAACAGTTCTCTTCTTTTGGGTTTTCTGTATTTTCAACAACCTATAAATATGAAACATTTTGGAATGCTTCCCCAAGGCCTCCCTGGAGGTAGTTTTTGTAAGAACACAATCCCTTTAGCCAAGGAATGTGTAAGAACCCACTGAAAAAAATCTGTCTCATAATTTATAAACGAGGCAATAGTGACATACTCAATAGTAACGTTCATAAGTACATCTTCATTTGCCTAATCTTAAAAAAAGGAATTTCTACGGTGCATTAAGCTAAATACTCATCAGCGATCCTGAGTTATTCAGAAGTACACAGAATTATACAAAAGCGAAGAAGTACATTTCTGATCACTTATTTAATGGAAGACTTGGAGTATTTGAATATTTATTTACTTACTCAAAAGGTTGGCGAGTTCTAAAAAGCGGAAAAATGAATGAACATGACCTGAGAGGTCTCGTAAACCTGAGTCAAGCTGTGAAATGAGAAGACAGCAGGGACCAAGCCCGAGGTACAGCTCTGGCCACAGAGGCAGAGCATCGCGCAGAGTGCTATGAAGCGCAGATGGACGGACAGACGGGTGTGAGGACAGTAAGTCGCTGTACTGCACAAGGTGAACACTGAGGCAGTGCTTCATATCCAGATTTCTGCTTGAAATACTTAGGGCACATGGAGGGGAGCTTTAGGATAAAAAAGTTGGCTCCTGTTTCCACAGAGATGAGCAGACCAGCTGGCTGTGGTGGCTCAGATGGCCTGGCCACACCTTGGTGGTCCTGACCTCCCACAGATCTTGCTGGCTCAACCCTTCCTGACAGCCACACGCTGCGCTGGAACCACAGCACCATCCCCAGGACAGTGACAGACAAGCTTTTGTCATCCAAGATTTCCAGTTGCCTGACTACCACCCCCAGTCAGTGTGGCAACACACCTACTTTTGCCACTGGGGCTGCCCATCCTGAGAACTCCTCACGTCTATGTTCGCCACAACCTAGAACTCTGAAAGCCACAGCCACATCATGCATGGACCCACCAGGCCACACTGCTCCCACGGTGGTGAGGGGGGCCTTGTCACTGGCGCACCTCATCACGGGCTGGCACTGAGATCTGGGCTCATACAGGAGCCAGGCACAGCTGCTGTAGACTCAGCCAATAGGACAAGTGGCCCCTTCAGCCCAACTGGCTTTTCCTTTCCCTTTCTGTGGGCCACACTGCACACTGCTCTCTGGCTAAGGTCTGGCAGCTCTGGAGGCATCCATTCCACTCCTCATACAATCACTTCAGTTCTCTGGGACACCACTGCCTTCAGACAAACTGACATGTTCTCAGTGTCCCCAACCTCTGTCGGGGGGGGCGGGGGCCGCGGGCAGTTGGAGACAAGCAGAGGGTAGATGCCAAGAAAGGGAGAGGGAGGTCTAGGCTGAATGGCCAGGTGGAGGTGGCCAGGGTCAGTCAACAAACCCCAGTGGTGATGAGCATGTCCCTTCCCATCCCATTCCACCATGCCTTGGTGATGTGAGGGCTAACAATTTGTCTTCCCCCAGACGGAAAGGGACAGCAGATGCACAGCCAGGCTGTGGAGCAGGGCCTACCTTGAAGATGAGGCAGTCGGTCTTGTGCTCTGCGTACTGTGAGGTTAGCCGGTACTGGCTCTCAGTGGTGATGTCGATCTGGTAGCCCGTCAGTGTGTAACAGACCTTGCGGAACTCCTGGATTTTGGTCTGGAACACCTCCTTGAGCCGTTGGTTCTTCAGCTCAGCACTTTCTACCTGCTTCCGGAGCTCTGCAGGAAGAGGCAGAGGGAGTGAGAGGCCAGCCTGGGTAACCCAAAGAGGGGCAGGGACACAGCAGGGCCTGATGGCAAGGGCAGCTGTGTCCCAAGCCCAGACACTCCCTCCCGAAGACAGGGAAGGCCAGTGCCACATCAGCAAGCCCCGATCTGTGTGTGCAGAAGAATCGGACGAGCTGATAAGCAGTCTGACCTTCTGGTGGCAGTGATAATAAAGATACTCTATTAACGACAGCAACTCTAAAGAAAGCAGTGACTCTGAAAGCCAGGTGCTGGAGTCAGATACCTGGACTCCAGATTCTATGCCTGGCCTGGAGCCTTCAGGCCTGTTCTCTGTTGGAGGAATGATAATGGGCAATGGGCACTGCAACTCCAAGTCACCCTGGGAAGCTCCAGGGGTGGCCAGGACTTGGGGTGCACATGTCCAAGTAAGAATGCTCTGGACGGCAAGCACCAAGAGCCTGGGTATGTATCTGAAGATCTGAATCTGCCAAGCAGTCCCAGTGATTCTGACATTTGCAGGCTCAGTCCCTTTGGGGACGCCTGCCCTAGGTGATCCAGCCCCAGCACATGGTGGGCAGGGAAGCAGTGAGGAGGACAGGAAGCCTCTGGCCACTGTGGATTATTTACCTGGGGGGAGGCAGAGGGTCCCACCTACCAGCCAATTCCAGAGCAAGGCCATGGTGAGGCATTTTTCCTCAAAGCAGGGTCTGGGTGAGTCCTACAGCTGAGCTGTGGGACAACAGCCACTTCTGCCCTCCCTCATGCAGCTCTGAGTAGACCATTTGAGGCAGATTCCCCCCACCCACCACTCCACCGCAATGCTTTACAGCCGCCCAGGGAGACACCAGCTGTGCAAAGCCACCACAAGGACACACAATTACCATGAATCTCTCGCCCAAGGTGCCTTCCGAGTAATTAAACCTTGATTTATCTCCCCGTTAATTATCGAGCTTAGCTCCACTTAAACACGAATGGAGCCATCTCCTGAGCTGGTACTTCCTGGAGGTCCAACCTGGAGCATGGGATGGGGGCCCTGGCCTGGCTAGGCCTGGCCTGAGTGTGAGTGGGGTAACACCAGCCTCCTGCTGCTGTGAGGAGGGGCAGGTTAATCCAAGGCTTAGGCGGCCTGGTCTAAATGGGCTGAGGGAGGAAGAGTGAACATCAGCACGGTGTGTGGTTGGGGGCACAGAGCATTCTCCTAAACAGTATGAGCCCGAAAACCAAGGGCTCCATCGACCAGGCCCAGCCTGGAGGCCTCCAGCCTCTGCCCAGCAGAGTGTGAGAGAAAAGGCAGGCATCTGGGCACCCACAGAGGTGTTGGGCAGCATGAACTCATACCCCAGGCCCCAGGGGCAGGTTAATGGGCCTTGTGTGGTCTGGGTTGCACCCTGAAGGTGAGTGGGCATGGAAAGCCTCCTTCCAGGAGACGTCAGTGGAAACCAGAAGCCCTTGTGTGACTGACTGAGGAACGCAGAGACCCAGGAGGGCCAGGCTCCCATTCAGGGTGACAGAGGCCCCCACGCCACATGCACGTACTCATTTCACTGCCATGTGGCTCTGAGGCAGGACCACTGGCTCAGAGTGCAATGGTCTGGCTGTGGACACAGGCTCACTCAGCGGCCGTCGCTGTCCTCACTGCCTCTTGGGCTCCAATCCACACCTCTGAGTTCTAAGCCCTCTGAGTTCTTTAAGACCGACATCTGAGCCCAGCATTCTGGTGCCAGAGACTGGAGGAGAAGCAGCCTGACAGAACTTATCACGTTGGCAGAGGGGCCATGGGGCACTGTCCACTGTGGCCCTGCCCTTGCCACTCCTCTATTCATCACGCATGTGGAGACCCAGTGGACACTGTCCACAGCTGAGTCCCTCAGTAGGACACGACTCACAGCCCTTGATTAATGGAGAAATCAGATTATGAAATCAAAAGGCTCTGATCCCAATATTCTTCCCTGTGTCCCTCAGCCAATCCTTCCCAAGATGGAGCCATCAGCAGGAGGAAGAATTCACTGACCACACTTTAGGGGTGATATTTCAGCCCTGTCAGGGGCTGTGTGGCCTTTAATCTATCTCTGCCATCCAATGGGAAAAATTAAATCTCGGTGATAAATGCAGCCTGACCTTGGAGAAGGCAAAGGCCCCTTCTACGCGGCACACAGAGCCCAGCAGCAGGCAGGGTGCAGGTCTTTGTGAGGCCCACACTCACACTCACCGTCCTTGTTGTGCATCCTGGAGGGAGAAGGTGCCACCGCACTACTCCTGAATGCTTGGGCACAGCCCACATGCCCGGCACCTGTGGCCTGCAGCGACACACGAGGCGGGCCCATCACCCTTGGTGGCTTGGAGGGAAGCCACTTTCTCAGGGAAGAGGAGCTGGCCTACCTCAGCGAAGAGGGTCCAGTGAAGAAACCCAGAACAGAAATTTGATTTGGGGTCTGGAAGGTCAATGTCTGACCTCCCTGTCATTCTTGTACTTCAATGGCTTACATAAATGTGAATGAATAATTCACTGGTGGTTTGGATTCAATGAATAAAAGATGGATTTCCTGCCTTGGAACCATCACGGCTCTCTTCTTGGTGACTCTCACAGGACCTCTGAGTGACTAGGAATGAAGCTTCCTCTGGGCTGGGTTCTGTGGGCCTGGATATGGGCCTGGATGTGGGTGCTGGGCTGGACTCCTCATTGGCCCAGGAGCAGAAGCCCAGAGGCCCCAGAGTCCACTGTGACCCCAGCCCCAGGCCCAGCATACAATGACAACATGTATACAGGCTGGGCTAGCAGGGTGGCCTGGATGGCCATCAGGGTCTGCCGAAAACTAGAGGACCCCAGCCTTGTCTGCCATGTGTGCATCTGAGGCAGCTTGCCGTGCAGGAAATGGTAGCACAGACACTGAGACCACGACCCAGGCAATGGTTCTGACAGCCTTGTTCTGGGGAGGCTTCTTCCCAGCTCCAAGCCCGAGTTTATACCCACGAGGAGGCCCTGAGGCCCTCAAGTGGCCCTGGCCACTACCTCTACACTGTTGCTGGCTTCTCCTGCCCTTGAATCCAGAGTAGCAGCCATGATGACCAGGCAAAACCCCACAGACTGTCATCCTCCTCCTAGAAGTGTCTGTTGTGTGTCCATACCAAGCACATCAGGGTCCCCATATCTTCCAGGCAGGGCTGGCTGTTCCCTCCATTTCCACTGCCCTCTGCAGGGATAGGCCTGGCTCTGAGTGGCTCTCAGAAAGTCTTGGTGAGGACGGCAGAGGAAGGAGTGTGGCAGCCACAGTCCAGGGCCCACAGTGAGGCAGGAGGGTGTCACTGGCTGTGCAGGACTGGCTGGGCTGCCAGAGAAGCCTGGATGGCTCAACTCTGCCCGGATACGTAAGCTACTCTGTGTCCAGGGAAGCCATGGGATGACTCTGACCGCCACCACTCCACTATCTTTACCCAACAGTTGGCCCCTCCTAGAACGGCAGAAGGCAGTTGAGGTAGTTCCAAGGGGAAGACACAGGACAGAAATAACCCACACTTTGTCAGATGCAGGCCAGCAGGGGATAGCACTCCTGTCCAAAAGTGGAATGTCGAGATAAAGGAGCGTTTACAGGCTCAAATCTCTGGGGATCCATTTCACAACTTGAAACTTGGAGAACGGCTGTTACCAGTGGGCAGGCAGGGCATGCACAATGCAAACACAGACACAGAGAGGAGCTGAAAGCAGACAGGAGGTGGTTACAGCTCACAAGATCCCATGGTTGGAGTAAGTGAGCTGGCGTCCCAGCAGCAGGACCTCTGGCTTTCATCACAACCACAGGGCTGCTGGTCACTGTGCCCTCAAGAGGAGGAGAAGCAGCTCAGCTCCGTTCTCCCTGGGCTGCTGGGGAATGGCTGGAAGAGACAGAGAGGCTTCTGCAGATGCCAGCATCTCTCCGGAGGTGCCTGGGACTGCTGTCCTCTTCTGTCTGTTCTGGGGCCCAAGGCACGACAGACCCAGGGGCCACGGAAGCTGGGCTGGGTGCAGTTATAGGCGCTAGCAGCATGGAGTCCTAGGCTGCCCATCCTACAGCACTGCTCTGTCCCAGGTGCCCTCTGGAGGGCGAGGCCTCCAGCCCCATGGCCCGGGTGCTCCACCTGCCCAGCCATTGCTTGAGCTGGTCTGAACCACATCCCTGCCCCAGAATGGTGTGAGCCTCAACTGAGCACAGGTACCGCGGAGGCTCTGCTCCCCAGGGAGAACAGACCCCCACTCTGAGCAGGCTCTTCAGGCTGGGCCTGGTCCCAGTTCCCTAAACCCACACACCTTACTCCCAGCTGGGCCTGCCCTGTCCTGTGAGGAGCCTGGTTGTCTGGACTGAACTTGTGTCCTTTCTCCCCAGCATCAGAGTCATACAGTCTCTTGTGTTTCCAGGGTTCACTGTCTCATTCATCGTGGTCATCAGGCCCCCAGTAGAGTAACTTGTACCAAGTCTCTGCTTACTGCTTCCAGCTCATGTCGCTCAAGGAAGACCGAGATGGGCCTCTGTGTCTCTACTGTGAAGGTCCCACGGTGCCTGGGCCAGGGAAGGGTCATCGAGCACCGAGAAGTACATGTGAGGCATCCACTTCTCCTGAGGCCCAGCTCATGGTCCTAGAGCCACAGTCGGTTTAACCGAAGCTGGTGAATGTGCAGGGTCTCCTTTGCTGAGTGGTGGGACTCAGGGCCCACGCACACTCCAGACACGCAGGAGGGAGAGACCCAGCCTGCATACTGGCTGAGGGAAAAGGAGCAGGTTGAGGGCTCACGGACCGACTTTGAGAAGACAAAAGTTTCATGATGAGTGGACGTGGGCTCAGCCGACCTGTCAGGGCAAGAGTCTCATGGTCTTCTGCAGTGGGTGGTGGGACAGCCAGTTCCAATGGGAGCACCCAACATGAGCGAGTACTGAGAGGCATGGGGCAAAAGACCCGGCCCTAGCAGGCCCGGGCATCTCCAGAGGGGCCTCTTGGAGGAGACACACACCTATCCATGG